TCTAGCTATCGTACATGTGTTTTTGTCATATTCATTTATTGTTTCTACACACACACAGCTGAAATGGTAATGTGTAAAGCAGCTTCAAAGACTTAGCCTGCGGTTCATGCATAAGACGTTACCACATACAAGGTGAGACCATGATTCATCTTACTCCAGAGAACAGAGAAGTTGTGAGGGTGCGTTTTTTTCCACCACTACAGCTTCCAGAATCCACAAGCCTGCATAGCAAGCAAACAAGTAGTTGGTTCAAGAAGTAACTTCTTCCACTGGGCATATGAGCTAGGGAATGCTGGGAGCTCTACCCCCAACTTTTTCTATGCCTTGTCCAGCCCACAGCTATGGCAGCAGCTGTTTGTAAATTTGAAAGAAGGCCTTTCCAATCCTATTCAGAAATGCTAGGAACTGAAACTGACATCTTTTGGATGGAATAAATGAACACTCCCACTGAGCTATGGACCTTTGAAGAAAAATTATTGAATGATGGTGCTTTGAAAATGCCACTATCCATCTGTTTCTCAGCTCACCAGTACAAAACCATCCTAAACACTTTTGGTCCCATGAAGAACCAATGTAACTGAACTACCTGTTTGTGACAATGCATGTGGCTCTACTTGTGAGTACATGTTTATTTCTAAGTGGTTTGCTGCACAGAAAATGCCCACGTTCTGAAGGAAGGGCAGGGTCCAGGTAGATTGGAACAAACTTCCTGCTAGAAAGATAAGAGCCACTCTCTGTCCAGAGCAACTATAGGGCAGTATTGTTGCTTCTGGGTGATTGATACATGATCATCCATTGGATGGGAGCAGCTACAAAGCAAGCTGCCTCAGGGCCACTTACATTGATGTTTGAAAGCAGCTGATCATGTGGACTAAGTCATCAATATCATTGCTCCTCACTACAGGGGCAATATGATCAGCTTCCTTCCAACCATATAGGCTATGTTATAAGAATAGATAGATAGGAGATATGAATTAGACCTATTGGTGCCCAATACCCTTTAAAACAAAGGCAGAACATGGTCCCACCCTAGATTGCTAATGCTTTAGCAGCCAATCCACACAACCCGTCAGGATGGGGAAGCTTTGGGCATGATCAGCTCACCTTCTCCTTCTCCTGGCTGTGACTCAGACTCTTTCCATGTGGTTATAGCTCCAGCAAAACAGATAAAACTAAAACTATTAGAACAATTGAAGTAAGATGTTAAATTAAGATCTAATTAATTAGATCAATTGATTCCTAGGTCCCTCCACCATTTGGTGATAACCAATTCATGGCTGAATGGAGGCTGTTACAATCCTGCCTTGTTCTATCGGCATTCAATTAGTTACAGTGCAATGGCGTTTCAACTGTAGAAGCAACAGGAAGGCATATTGGCAGAAGCCATGCAGCTGAGTAATTGAAGAGCGTGGACTTGACAATTTTATGCACACACTCCTTTTGATGTTTGTGTGCATCCTCCATTGTTAAGTCCACAACTAATTTTTCTCTTCACACACAATCCATGCCACTGCCAATCCGTTCATTACAATGGCTTCTATATTTCCAGTTAGGCCCTCTGAGAGTCCAGATGAGGCACAAGCCAATGACACATTGTGAGCCCCTTACCCCTATATTTAGAAAGAGAGATACAAAAAGGTTAATGTAAAGAATGGTGTGTAATTTTTTTTAATTCACAAAAAGGCTCTGCTGCCCAACCCCGCCCCTGCAGGGATAGTTCCTGGCATATTAGAGAGCAAAGAGAGAAAGCAAATGAAAAACGTACACACATGCCAACTGTGCTATTTGAGAAGAAGAAAATAAATAATTTGCTCATGTGCAATTCTGTATTTTGAACTCATTTAAACTCATGATGCTATCATTAAAGAAATACCATTTTATTCCTGTCAGAAACAAAAGGGAGTTTTCATCTGGTGTCCTGCCACCAAACAGATTTCTGTGAGAATAAGTACTACATTGTTGTGCACACACAGAGGCTAATATGTTTTTTACAGTAAAAATAATAAAATGAGCCTCTGCAAACATATACATGTCCTGCAAATTCTCCTGCCCCCATAAAAAGTTCTAAAAAACTGAGATGAAAAATAAAAGTTAGAACAGTTCTTCTTCTTATATATATATATATTTAACTACTCGATCTCAGTAGCCATGCTGGCATGGGAATTCTGTAGTCCAAAAGTGAATTTTTCCAAGCTCTGCTAAAAAGTGTGCAGAAGGACAAGACAAATGCTATAGTGAGCAGGCCAACAGGCTTGGCACACTCACTCTGGCACAGTTGTTGACACCAGCACTATTTTCCAGGCTCTCCATCATTTGTCATTGGCTTGCTAAATGTGGAGGTGGAGTGTTGGTCTGTTGACTTTGGATGTCAATCATATAAGGTGCAACATAGAAAGTTCCTGCAGGTACTTTGTGCTTAAAAATATCACATCTGTAGTCTGGGAGTACTTTCTAACCCTCTCCTGTCCCTGCGCTTCCATGTAGCAGTGGTGATAATGAGTACTTTTTCACAATTCAATTTAACATGTCACCTACAACTTTCTGAAAGTTGACCTGACATAGCAATGCCCATCTAAACCTTAGTTAACATTGTGTTTTGACTACTGCAATAGACTCTACATATGTTTATCCTTGATGATTACCCAGGAGCTTCATTTGGTGTAAAATGGGGCGTCTATTTAGCTAACTGGTGTATAGTGTCAAAATCAGATCACTCCTGTACTTAACAACTTGAACTGGTTGCCACATGCTTTCTGGGTTCAGTTCAAGCCATAATGGTGCAGAACCTGGTTACCTGACTGTCTTAGGAACCTGCTTCAAATTGTGATTTCCAGCAGACTGCATCTTAAGACTAGATCTCCTGGCAGGATCCACTTAATGGGCAAGCACAAGAAAGTTTTCTTCGGGTGTAATTTATGGTCACAGAGGACCATTCCACCAACAAAGTTGGAGTAAGGCTACCCCTCCTTTCTAGTCACAAGCTGTCTATGGTTTTCTCCTGTTTTGCACAAAAATAAAATGCACTCACTTATGATCGCTGCCCATTGCCAAAGCTATTAGAAAGGGCGTGAAGATACATCTCCTTAAACTGTCTTTTAAATTATTTTGATAATTCTGGATTACTGTGACTATTTTGATGGCGTTTATTGCTGCAATTATCATCATGGTTTTAATAGAAGTCCAATTTATTTATTTTTTTACTATATTGGGCAGCCACCCTGTGCTTTATATTTCATTGAAAAGGAGGGATGAAACCATCATAAAAATAAAAAAGATAAGTCATGCACAGAGCAGGAAGCAGCAGAACTGCAGACCAGATTTACAGGACAAACTCTTCTTAATCATCTTTAGACACCAGCTGTGGAGAGCAACATCCAAATCAGCCAGAAAAGTGGCCTCTTCAGCATCTGGAAAAGAGCCAAGCTATGAGAAAAAGATTCCTCACGAGTGAAAGCTCAATGGAATGTTCAACAGACTCACAAAAGTAAGACTGCTCTCCACAGGTGAGCACCTCTCTCCAGATATCTGGCTTTTACTCAGGTATCATACTATTCAAGTGTGAACTCAAGAGACATTTAGAAGTAACGAGAAAACCAGTCATTCTTAAATGGTGTGATATCTTTTCTCAATACCATCAAACCCACTTTATGTCCAGGTTTTTGAACATAATTCTCTCTTTTTTTTCATCAGGAGAAGGAGTATAGGGGAAATACTGCTCTGTTGATCAGACTGGATCACTCATCAGCTTTCAACATTGAAGCCCTTCTAATTTTATCAGCATGCTTGGTGATGGATGGGAAATGACTATGAAGTGAGAGCTATACCAATCAGTGTTGTGTTGGGGACACATAGTTGGACTGCGACTTGGGAAATCTCAGTTCAAGTCCCCACTGAGTCATGAAACTCTCCAGAAGATCTTGTGCCAGTCAACCTCTCTCGGATTGACCCAAGTCATAGGATCATTGTGAGGCTAGCTAAAGCATGGGAGAGAAAAGAACTATATATGCTGCCTTGCAGTTCTTGGAGGGCAGGTGAAATATAAATGTGATTAATAAAGTTTGGTCATTTCTTAAGTGAACACTCATATGGTTGGTGGTTTTCCCCAAGTTGCTTTCTGTCCTGTTGCTGCTTTTGCTTAAGGGTCTGTATGAAACTGCTGGGAGGGATTACCTGGAGATTTGGCATAACTGGCATAATTGTGACTCACACTAACATCTTTGCTCCTCTCCTGCCATAAATCTTCTGCATGATACTAGTTGTGCAGGCAGCATTAAGGGCAGAAAATCTAAACCCAGGCAAGATGGCAAGTTGGCATATGTTCAGCAGTCTTGTAGACCCTCTACTCTTGATCCCATTGTCAGTGCAGGCACGGTTGATGGGACATGAGAGAGGGCCTTCTCTGTGGCTGCTTCCAGGCTATGAAATGCTCTCCCTTGGGAGGTCAGGTTGGCCCTCTTCCTTTTATCTTTCCGCTGACTACAGAAGACTCACCTTTCAGTCAGGTTTTTAACAATCATGTTTTTAACAATCATGACTGAATCCTTGAATGCCATTTTCAAATAAGATTGTTTTTAATGTTTTCCTTTTTAAAGAAACCATTCAATGTATTTCAATTAGTTTTACAGTTATTTTGCTTTTAATGTATAACTTACTGTGCTTTTAATTCTGTTTTTTTTTTTTTAATACTGCGAGCCACCCTGAGTCCCTCTATCAGGAGAAAGGCAGCATATAATTAAGGCAAACAAATGAAACAAAAAACAAAAACAAATGTAGCATCAGGTACAGGCAATGTGTGACCTTTCAGGTGTGGTTTGACAGCCAACAATGAGGGGGGTCATGGGAGTTGTTTTCCAGCAATATCTGGAAGGTCACACATGCTCCATCTCTGTGTTACACTTCCCAGATGATGGACATCTGGGACATTAAACAGTGCAGTAAATATAGAAATATAGAGCTTGTTGTTTTTTCTTGAACCCCTCTCCCCAAGCTTTGGCCTTTACCTGTACTCGGGCCTCTGTGAGATCTGTCCTCATGGCTAGTTGCTCTCTGGCATAAACATCTGGGTAATGGGTCTTCTGAAACACCTTTTCCAGCTCTTCCAGCTGATAGCTGGTGAAGGTAGTGCGGTTGCGCCGCTTCTTCCCCTTGTTGCTCTCGGAGTCCGTCTTGTCCATTGGGCTGGATAGGTCATTACTTGCTCTCTCTTGGGATACCTTCACTCCAGTCTCTTTCACGCTGAGGTAACTGCCATCCATTCCAGCAGGATCTGAGGCTGGCTGTAACTCTGCCTCTCCCAGGGAACTCTCTTTAGCTGCGTATGCAGTGGTGGTGGGGTAACAAGAGCAGAGAAGGAGAGAAAGAAAACATGAGGCTATGGATAAATAACTGCATTGGTTAACATTTCGGGATTTGCTCTTTAATTAGCATGGGTGGATTTGAAGTATTTTTCAGTGATCACATGACACAAAAGCCAATGTGAATCAGCTCAGTCCTTCTTGCTTCCAGTTTGGAGTTTCCCCCCTGTCGCTGGGGGCTTCTACTTTTCAAATTTTGCAGTAATTTGAATAGCATTTTCCCTGTGTATTTCTTTGTTTCGTTCTACAAAAGGATGCAGGGGGCTGACTCTGGGTAGTGTTATGGTGACGTATTAACCTGAGGCATTATGTTTTGGGACAGCAGAAATATAATCTTTTCCCCTAGTCACCCCAAAGTATTTTAATTTAAAACAACAACAACAACAAATGATTGAATTTAGAGCTAGATCAGTGATTCCAAACCTTGGGTAACCCAAGTGTTCTTGGACTGCTTTTTTTAAAAAAAACAACAACAAATGATTGAATTTAGAGCTAGATCAGTGATTCCAAACCTTGGGTAACCCAAGTGTTCTTGGACTGCCATGCCCAGAAACCTTGGCCAGCATAGCTAGTGGTGAAAGTTTCTGGGAACTGCAGTCCAAGAACAACTGGGTTTCCAAAGATTGGGAACCACTTTGCTAGGTCATCTTATCACTGCATTGATACATTAGTTTAGTACTAGGTCATCTTTGCACAAGTGGGGGGGGGGAGATAAGAAAGGAGAGCTGGGGATTGCCAGCTGGGCAGTATCAATGGAAGGGGGACCCCATTGATATGTGAGTACATATCAAATTGCATCGGACTGAGGACCAGCGTGGACACTGGCACTGAAATAATCCAGGGTCTTTGTGTGAACACTTAATCCAAGTACAACTGTAGAAAAGACTGCAAATCAAGCCACAGCAAAGCTGAAATAGAATGTGTAGTTGCATATTTTGCTGGATCTGTACTATATGTAAAAAAGAAGAAGACCACAGGGAACAAGGAGTTGGCTGAGAAAAATTTACAGTGAAGGAGGTGAGACAGGAGGAAGAAAAGGAGCATGGAACTGAGAAAGGAGAAAGACATGGCTTTTTGGCTCCGAATATATAGGAAAGGTGGGAGGAAGCAGCTGGAGACCTATAAAATAAATAAAGGGATTCTATTTTAATGACTTAAGGCAGATTAGCTTTAGACCTCATGCTGGCAGGGATATGCGTTTGCCTTACTAGTTCTGCTGTGATTTCCTGTATTGAAACAGATTACTTCATGGTGCATGACAGAAGATAAAGGGGATATCACATACATCTGACAAGCTCCCATAGAGTGCTTCATTGATTAAAGAATATTAAACAGAAATGTGTTTTCTTGTCAAATGCTAGCTGATAGGCTTCCACATGGTGTTGAACTGATTACAGGGTACACATGCTACATTAGATTTTATAAAGATAAACATATTACATGGCACTATCTTATTTATACACATATCCCAAGGGTGGAGGAATTAAGGGAGCATCCTAAAGGGTATACACATGCATAGGGAATTTCACCGATCTGCTCATGTTGCAGTGCAACTCAAATTAACCCCTGTACCAACCTGGCATAGAAGTGCTGATGTAAAAAAAATTAAAATATTGGTTTTATAGTGCCATGCTCAGATGCAAGTCCCACTGAGTTCTACAAGCCTGACTCCAGGAAAAGGGGTGTAGGAATTTATCCTTACTAGTCACTGCTCCATTCTTTTCTCCTTTTACCACTGCCTAGATTTGTTCTTGGTCCTCCTTTAAAGAAGCATAACAAAATACACAATGTATGCCTGCTTTATTTGGAGAAGAGCTCCTTTTAATCCAAATAAAATGTGTACCCAGCCACATAAGTACAATACAGTATTAGAACCTATAACAAGCCACTAATTGTATTGACCTGAAGAATTCTGGGAGTTGTAGACCCCAAAAGCATCTTTTCCAGACTCTTCCAGAGTGATGAGCAGGCACTGGTGAGGTGTTGGAAGCCACACATGCTTAGGCAGGTGCATGTTATGCAGACATGTTACATTAGCTGTAAAAGGAGATATTGACAAACTTGTGGGGTTTGTTTGTATGTATGTATATTTGTTTGTTTATCTAATGTCCATCTGACCAAAGGCTATTTACATGGTGTTTCACATGAGATGTATTAGCTGAAGCCAACGACAAAAAGTAGATCAAGCAAGCAGCTCCATATATAGGAGCACAATGTGTCTGAGCACATGGCCAACCCAGGAATTTGTGTTTGGTATTAGAAGTGATCTCCTGTCTCACACAGAGAACCTCCCTGGTCTCCCCTATAATGCTATTTTTCAGGAATCTAATTGAGTTTCCGACTTTGCTGTTGGTATAAACTACCGAGAGTGAGAAACTCTTCCCAGTCTTTTGCAAATTGTCTGGAGATCTCACATGCCCATTCCTGCCATAAGCTGTACTTCTGAACTAAGCTTGAGCAACAATCAGAGCTTGGAAATATTAATTTTGGAGACTATCACTATAGCCATGGCTGGTGTTCCAAGTCCTCGTCAGGATGCTGAAAATGCTGAACTGCACCTGCATTCCCATCCTTTTCATTTCTATCATGTTGCAAAGCTGTTCTCAATTTCTACATGTAAATTCGTAAACATATTTTCTAATATATCTATTTCTTCATATTTTACCAACTGCCCAGTGTGCGTCTTTTCCCATTACACTGGTGCCTTGACTTACAAATGCCCTGACTTACGAACAATTTGACTTACGAACAGCTCTGGCCGCAAAATTTTGCTTTGACTTGCGGCCGGAGCTTTGACAAACGAACAGAAACAGGCAGGGAAAAGGGGCGGGAAATTCAAAAAACCTAACTGTTGTTGGTGAAGAGGCTGCTTCTTTGTAGCTCTTTCACTCCAATGGTTAGGGAAAGAGAGCCTCAGCCTCCCAGGCTTCTGGTGCCACCACCATCACCGCCTTTGGAGGCCTCCCGGGGGTCTCCCACCTCCACCGACTGCTGCTTTCAGGCTTTCCGGGGGGGGTAGACTGGGCCTACCAGGGGAAGCCCTCCCCTAGTAGTCCCGGTCTACCCCTTGGAAAAGCCTGAAGGCAGCAAGCGGCGGCGGCGGGGGACCCCTGGGAGGTCTTCCATGGCGGCAGGGAAGCCCTGGCCTGGCAGCAGCAGCTGGAGTCCAAGAGGCTTCCTGGCAGCGGCAGTGGAGGTAAGGTGCTGCTTTTTTGCTTTTTTAAAACTATTTTAAAAAATCTTTTGCAGGGTGGGATTGGGCTGGTGGGGTTATGTTTCTGTTTATTTAGGGATTTGTTTTATTTTTTTGCAGCCCCAGGGGCTTACAGTGTTTTACTTTTTATTTTGGGGGATATTTTTTTCTTCAGCCGGAATGGATTAATAAGTTTTCAATGCATTCCTATGGGAAATGGTGCTTTGACTTACAAACATTTTGACTTATGGCCACCGTTCCAATACGGATTAAGTTCGTAGGTCAAGGCATCCCTGTATATGTTTTTTCCTATTGTATACATGTTTTTTCACGTATTTTATGCCCCCCTAACACACACACCCCGCAAGCCTGGCTAATGTGTGAATCTCCAAAGCAAGATGCCCTTGGATTTGCAATGAGTCTTGGGAGATGCTCAATTGTAACTTTTGTAGATAAGTTCACCTACAATGAAACACTCATCCTGAGCTATCAAAACTAACGAAAGAAACAGACATATGGCCCTTTAAGACTAACAGATTTATTATTGTATTCTTGAAGGCTTTCACGGCCGGGATCTGATGATTGTTGTGGGTTTTTCGGGCTCTTTGGCCGTGTTCTGAAGGTTGTTCTTCCTGACATTTCGCCAGTCTCTGTGGCCGGCATCTTCCTTCCACAGAGACTGGCGAAACGTTAGGAAGAACAACCTTCAGAACATGGCCAGAGAGCCCGAAAAACCCACAGCAACCATTAGCTTTATTATTATTTCAAGGATTTACTGTAGTGTAAATTTGTGCAGATATGCAGCCACCTAAGAGGACTGTGTATGTTCATGAGTGCACATGTAAAACTAAATAGGATTGTCTCAAAAGTGCCTTGTAACTCTTTGCTATTTTGCTGCAACAGACTAACAGGGCTACTCTTATGGAAAAAGAATAAATAATTTATCTCCCAGTGATTCTGTCAAGTCCCCAATCTGGCAACCATTACACCAACATCTTCCAAATTCAAATCCCTGTTTATGGCTCTTCCTAATTTGTCATGCCTACTAAGCCCTTAATTGTACAAGAGCATTTACAGGAAGACTGTCTGAACTTGGAGCTGCTTGCCTTCTCTCCTCAGAGCTGGCAGAAGACAGCAAAAAGAACAATGGCTGGACAGGAGGTTGGTTGCCATCTGCCAACTTTTGTTCCACATAGCTTTCTGGTCTGCTTGCTTGTTTTTGCCAGTAAAGGAGAGAGCTCATTGTGGACAGCTATGAAAGAATTATTGCAGAGGGAAAGAAAATACATGTGTGCTGAAGACGACAGAGAGAGAATAATAATAATTCTTGGACTGAAGTATGCTTTATTGGCCGCAGAACAGACTACAAAGAGAAAATAAGCCAAGAGCTTTCAACAAATACAGATCTCCACTGCCAGCAAGCAAATGGCCCCGGAGAATACGCTCACACTTATACAGCCCACCATCCCATGATAGCAGTTGTGGGCGGGTTATCAACTGACCCACTGTCAATGAATTTGCAGTTCTCATACAGGATGCAAAGTCCGTGAGAGTTATCAGCATGCTGGTGAATTTTATGTCAAACATCTTGAAGCCAAATTGGTATAGATGAAATGCTAAACACATAAAGGATTTGTGATTAATGTAATCTGGGAGTTTTAGTTTAGGCATCCTTCAGTCTCGAGAGACTATGGTAATATGCTGTGTATGGAGGACTTGGAAAAGTGTCTAGTGTGGCTGAGAAGGCCAATTTGAGAATGACAA